CCCCGGGTAATTCCTAGGATTAGTGTTATAAATGGATATTCATTCATTCATTCATTCATTCTTTCTTTCTTTCATTCGACAAACATTTACTGAGTGTCTCATGTAACCTCTGCCTGATTCTAGGCACTGGGAATATAGTCGGAATATAGCATTCATGTGTTCTTCTTTTGCAGAGCTTGTAGTCAGGTGGGTGAGGCAGACAGTAAACCAGCACACACACACACACGCACGTGCACGTGCACACGCACGTGCACACATGCACACATTCAGAGAGTGAGGACAGTAGCTTACTTAGATTCTGGTACCAAGTCAGGGGTGTGTGTGGTTTTTCCACACCACCAAGCACTTCTCTAGCACCAGCCTACAATTGGGCTGATTTCTGATACCATCTACCTGGAGAGAGCATCAGATCCCACAGGTTTTATCTGAATTATTTTGGATTTGACAAATGTTCCCCGAGGACCATACTTAAATGGAAAGTTTGTAAGAAAATAAAGCTGACATAAAACTATTTACCCTTTCTTTTTAAAACAGTATGAATTACAGTGGCTCAGAAAAAAAATTGTTAGGCACAAAGTAGCTACAAGTTGGCTTACTCCTAGAAGACTGCCCCCCTTCCAAGCCAATGGAAAGCCCTGTGCTTCTGAATGGACTGGCTATAAATTGGGAGGTTTCCATGACCCCCTCCTCGGACTCAACTTGCTAGAGCAGCTCGTAAAACTCAGAGAAGCCTTTTTTTAAAAAAAAGATTTTATTTGTTTATTTGACAGAGAGAGAGACAGCGAGAGAGGGAACACAAGCAGGGGGAGTGGGAGAGGGAGAAGCAGGCTTCCCGCGGAGCAGGGAGCCCGAAGTGGGGCTCGATCCCAGGACTCTGGGACCATGACCCGAGCCGAAGGCAGACGCTTAATGACTGAGCCACCCAGGCACCTTTTAGAGAAGCTTTTTTACTGATTAGAGTGCCAGTTTCTTATCTAAGGATACAGCTCAGAACGGCCACATGGAAAAGCTGCGTGGGGTGAAGTACAGGGAAGAGATTCAGAGCTTCCATGCTGTCTCTGAGCACGCCGCTCTTCCCCAAATACCCATGTGCTCCCCAGCCTGGAAGCTCTCTGAGCCCTGTCCTTTGGGTGTTTATGGAGGCTTCATTACAGAAACGTAATCGATTAAATCATTGGCCATTGGTGACTGATTCAGCCTTCCCAGAGGCTGGGGAGTAGGCCTGCAAGTTCCAACCCTTTAACCACAGGGTGAGTGCCCCTGGCCTCCAGCCCCCATCCTTCGCTTCGGGTCCAAAAGTCACCTTATTGACAGAACCCAAGACACCTTCTCTCTCTCATCACTTAGGACGCTCCACGGGTTTTAGGAGGAGGGAATGGGGATAAAGACCAGAGATGTATTTTCTGTACATCACATATCATGCTCGGGCAGCATGAGGGAGTGTCCCCCGTAGCATGGGAAGAGCACTGGATCGGTGGTCAAGACAGGGCTCCCTGATTAAACTGAGACCCAAAGGAGAAGCCACTCCAGCAAAGGTCTGTGCAAGGAGACTCCCAGAATCCACAAATGAAGAGGCCCTGAGTTGAGAAAAAGCTTGTGTTCAGAGAACAGAGGAAGTTGTGAATGTGGAAGAGGGAGGGAGTGGGGAGCAGCAGGGTGTTGGTCCCAGAGGTGGCTGGAGAGGCCCGGACCAAGACCCTGTGGGCTACCGCAGGCCTGGTGAAGCATTCTGCTCTCTTTCTGGGTGCAGTGGGCTGTCACCATAGGACATTTTGCAGGGAGGTGGCGAGTTTTCTGTTTTTCTAAGACCTGGCTGCTCAGTGGAGAAGGGAAAGCTGACAGTCATCAAGCCAGTCCAGTGGCCCAGGGGAGAGGGCAGAGCTTTGCGGGAGGGGTAACACTGGAGATGGAGCAGAGGAGCCCGTCCAGGGGGCATCCGGGCAGAGCATAGACAAGGATTGCCGATGGGGTTGGGGACCGGAAGAGAGTGGGAAATAATTTATCTTAGTGTGGTATAAAAATGAAAGGTTGAGAGAGTCACTTAGAGCATCCAGATTCCATTCCGTTCTAGATCCTGAGTTAAAAGTTATTGCACACATTCACCATTAGGGCGAAACTGAGCTTTTCTAAAACAAATGCAATTCAGACACACTCGAAGCATGCTGGCTTTTGTAGTTGGCAGTGATGAGTGTAAAGAAATTAACTTTAGAAGATAGCAGTTCAACTCAACACATAATTTCCGCTAAAACGTAAGGACAAGCGTGGCCTAAACTGCAGTGGTTAGTTTTGCTAACAGTCCTTGCTTTTCCACAGAGAGCATAAGTTCCCCAGAACCTATACAAAATTCAAAAGTAGACCTGCATTTAAAAAAGAATCACATTTAGTGGTTTTGTATCCTTGGTCTTCTGAGAAGTCCTTGATCATGGTAGGCAAATCTCAGACGGTGTTCTGAGATTTGGCACGTGGGTCCAAGGGTGCTGGAATCTGCTTTGATCTCCCCTGGGGCCCGCTGACCCTAGCTGCTTTTTCATCTCATTTTTAAAATCATCCCAAGTGACTTTGAGGTCCGTGTGGCTAACCTGGCAACTCATCAAGAACCTAGCCTCAGTGTCCCCATCCATTCCTGTAGAAGGCGGAGGGAGAGGGAGGGATTTCGAGAGAAGATCCTTCCAATGGCCGCGGCTGAGCTACGGAGCCCATGGTGGGGAGGAGAGATTTGAACAGGGACAGCTACAAAGTGCCACCTCCACTGCACCTCACCACCACCCCAGGAGGCTTTAGCATTAGATTTTGTTTTAATTGAGGGCACAACAGGTTTTAAAAAGATACACAGTGTGCTAAGCAGTAGCGCACTTGCCCACTGAGATGGTCCCAGCCCACATAATTCTGTCATTTTTGAGTCACCAATATGAACTGGGCTTTATCAGCCAGTGAACGAAACTCAGATCCCCAGTGACACCCAAAATTCCGTGTTCTCATTTCTGCCCACTGCTGCCCCACCAAATGTTTGCAAGAGGTCTCTCTTTACGATATTTCTAACCCATAGGCCCCCAAAGTTCGTGGGTTCTCAGTAAGGTCAGTTCCTGCCTTTTGCTGTTCTCTTGTTCTGGGTTTGGGTCCTCCCCCCTCCCTCTGACCACTGGGAAAATTGCTCTTCTCACCCGCATCTTGCAGAGAATGGAGCCCTGAGTGGGGCAGGAGAGAGGGGAGCACTGAACTAAGCTGGTTTGGTGGGAGATGTAGGGCTCCAACCTTTGACCCCGGGGTCTTGCTGCTTCATCCACACGCCTGTTAGACTTAACCTTCCCCTGGTGGTTTTCATTCTCAGGCCCTGTTGGCCTGGTTTCCCATCTAGTCCATCAAAGGACATTCAGGTTCTTTCTCCAAGGGCCTCTGGGCTCCCAGCCAACCAGGGATCGTGGCTGGGCACGGTTTTAAGTGCCCCGACAGTGAGGAGGCTGGGCCACCGCAGAGCACCCTGACACCGGCCCAGGAGGGTGCTGCTCGGGCCACAGGCCGACCCGAGTCTGGGATCTGTCCAGCCACGGTAGGTTACTACGACAGAGAAATCATGCTTAGGAAACAAAAAGGGAGAGATTATGTAAATACGTGTGGGAAATAAGCTCTGAAGCTCACAGATATTTGCTCTGCTGAAAACTTCACCCTCTTTCTGTAGGGCCCTTTCTCAAGCGAAACCTTACAGAGCCCCCGTGTACGAAACAGGTGGCACCCAGGGGTCAGGGTCAGACCTCCCTGCTCTTTCAGCCTCTGCCTCTGCTGGGTCCCCCCACCCCCACTCCCACCCCAGAAGTCTTTCCAGGGAATTCTAGGAGTCCTGGGAACATAACTTGCAAACCGCCACATCATGATATGAAGATCACAGAAAGGAAGACAGACACCCTCTATGCCGACACTCTTCAGGAGCCTTTGTCAACAACCCCCCTCGCTGCTGGGTCTTCAGCCCACCCCTTGCCGCCATTGGTTCCTCTAGTCGCAGACATGTGCAGGCGGCCCCAGTCCCTTGTGGATGGCGATCTGCTCTCTGCTACTCTCTCCGGTCCCTCCTCTTGCTGAAATTCACCTCTGACTTTGTCATTCCTGAAACGCCTACGGGGGCTCACCATCCCTCCTAGGATGAAGGCGTGGGCACTCAGCTCTTTCCTCACGGTTGTCCCTGCACACCTGTGCCCTTTCTCTGCTACTCCCCAGAAAACATCTGCTTACCCTTACTCCCTTACCCTTGCCCCCCACACCTCCAGCCACCAGGCGCACCCCTACTTCAGCCCTGGATTCAGGCTGCACATCCGTGGGGAAACCTCGCACTTCCTGCGTCTGAGCCCCGCCCTCACGCCCAGGTGCTGCTGCATCCCCACCCTGCCCTCCTGCCCCCGCTGTCTGTTGTTCTGCCTTCTCGGGTGAACTGTGAACGCTGCCTCCTCCACTTACGTAGAAGCTCCTTGAGAGCAGAGATGTTTCCGGGGGAGGGGAGATGGCCCTGTCCCGAGTAAATCCCAGGCCCCCAGCAGATGCGGGACACATAAAGAGCGCTCAACATCAGAATGAATGAATCTTCAAGTTTCCACAAGTGCATTTGTCGAGATGGGAATGGCAGTTATGACATAAACCAGCTCCGAGTTAATAAAATCAGAGATCATCTTTCAGTCTCGTGGTGTACGCCTTTCAGTCGTTAAGTCTGCTTCAGTGAGATCTCCGGTTTGCAAGGCCCGTTCTATTTGTTGAAGCAGTTGGAGCGTCCACTCTTCTGTGGATGTCTTACCACCTGTGTGGCATTGGCCGTGGCTGTAACAAACTTCCGCGTTCAGAGTTGATCCCATTCCTAATACAGGGAACAGGGAAGAGTCACGGAAGGGGCACGTGTGCGTGTGCGTGTGCGTGTGTGTGTGTGTGTGTGTGTGTGTGTGTGTGTGTGGAGGTGTGTGTGTGAGACGAAAGGCCGGGTCTTTGAATGAACTGCTTACTTGAAAATTGTCTTTCTGCAGGTGATGTGTCACCAATCAGCATGTCTCCCATCAGTCAATCTCAGTTTATCCCACTCGGGGAAATCCTTTGCTTGGCCATCTCGGCAATGAACTCCGCCAGAAAACCTGTCACCCAAGAGGCGCTGATGGAGCACCTGACCACGTGCTTCCCAGGTAACGGGAAAAGAACGTAACACTTTCCAGATAGGTGTGTGTTCCATTGCTCAAGGACATCACACGGACCATTCCTCTTATTTAAATGTAATAGAAAAAAAAATTCTTTGCCAAAATGGGAAGGAAGCTTTTCCTAGTTCTGTAATTAAAAGCCGAGGCACCTCTGTTACCGCAAAAATAATTTGCCGTCTTCGGGTATTACTGCAATCCTTTTTAAGTTGGCACTGAGAAGAAGACATTAAATCAGAATCCATGAAGAATTCTGGCAAAAACTACCAAGGTTCTGTTCAGCGTCACCATAACCTTCTTTAAAGACATGAACATCATGATTCATGGGAGCAAGTCAGAAAATTTTAGTCCCAGGGGATTACACTAAAGAGACAGTAATGTCAAAAATAAACAGGTCTTGTATGCTTGTGTCATGGCTTGATGAGTTTTAATAATCTGATATTTGATAAATCAGTTAAGATCCCATTTTGAAAGAAAAAAATAAGATGTTTCCTTTTCTCTTAAATATTAGTAAAAGAGGACAACAGGCCATCTGCTGCATGATCGGCACTGGGTGTCTCCAGTGTCAGAAGACAGTGGGAACGGTGATGAGCTAAAGACTGCATGCCCTATCTCGAGGGAGGCGGCCCACTACTCAGCTCCGGTGTATTGACCCCCCCCCCGCAAAATGTAGAAGCCTGCCAGAGTTACAAATCTCCTACTTTTTCAAGAGAATCTGGACTTTCAATTTTATGTGAAATCTGTAGACTTCCCTCACTATTGGCAGTTGTGTGTGTGTGTGTGTCGTGTGTGCGTGTACATTTTAACACACGTGTGCCAGTGACATGCAAGTCCAATAAAACACATTACTGGGCCACCAGTTGGCCAACTTGGCTTGGACTCCAACCTATGCTTACATTAAAAATGAACCCTTGACACAGGTTTTATGCAACCTAGAAGAGACCTCGGTAAGCAGAAACTAGAGGCTGTAGCCGTTAGCTTTTACTACCCAAATGCTGGGTAACAATCACAGAACATCAGTGGCGTACAACAATGGACATTTATATAGCTTCTGGGTTCCCCAGGAGTCAGCTGATCCAGACTGGACCTGCCCAGGTGGCTCTGCTCCACCTGTCCTCCATCCTCTTTAGAAAAGGAGACAAGTTTTGAAGTCTAACCGAATATTATTAAAATATTTGAATTCTCATATTTAATACCTATGTTATAAATAAAAAGAATAGCCTAGATTTGGGCCTCTATTACTGTTTTGGACATCCAGATTCTAAAGAATGTTTTTTTAGTGAAAACCTTCTAGTAAAAATGTCTGACACACTGAAATGTGAACCCTTTTATCACCTTTCTATATTGGTTGAATTTTTGAAAACAACTTTTGTCTACCGGTTTCTATGACAGAAACAAGAATTTTTTTAAAGTATAAAAAGAATGAAATACTTGCTTCACAGCTTAAGTAAGCACTCGTCATCCATCCATCCAGAGTGATCATTTCAATCCGACTGGTACTTGTCGAGTTGTTACAGTCAGATCTTCCCGGGAGGAAAGCTGACCGTCAGAGAAAGAGCTGCTAATGGGGTTGAAGTTGGCTTTCGATTTTGCTAGAGAATGTTAACATTATATACCCCATGTTCTATCTCCCAACTCATCCCCTTTACATCAGTTCTCGCAGAATTCTCCCTCAGCCAGTGTTCTTTACACACGAGAAGAAATAATCCAAAGAAGCTGACTGAAAGCTTCCGTCCAAAATGCTTAACGTATAAGAACGTGTGCGTGTGCTCTCCGTTCTGACAGTTGTCGGATTTGCGGGATGAAAGAGATCTTAGAAGTCTAAGTAGCACCCCGTTGACATGCAGTGTTTTTAGATACCTGTTTTTGCTTTGGAAAGATGTAAAGGCGTGGAAAAGGAGAGAAGTCAGCTTTCAGCTGTATTTGGATATAATGCTTATCTTTGTTCTTTAAGCCCTCAAAATCCAAATTCGTGGTGAATTTGGGACTGGGATCTGGTGGCGGTGGAATGTGCAAACACTGAAAACAGCCATCTTTTTCCCGGGCGAGCCCTGCAGATTTCTCGTGCGAGTCTGCATTTCACAGACAACTGAAAATACCAGTCATTCGACAGGGGCTTCGTAATAAAATAATCATCCCAAGTATCAGTGACTCGCAGTTAAAGCTTTGAAAACCCGCAGGTAGAAGGGTGGAAAGGGGAGTGGACAGGGAATGTTTCTCGTTTGGTTTTTTTTTCAAATTAAGCATCATTGGACTGACAAACTTCAAATCCAAGATGTGAAAACTTTAGACGTAAATTCTCTTTGGAAACTCCTTCTTATTCCTTCCTTTGGGAACAATCCGAGCACCTGTTCTTAATGGTAAGTAAACATGATGACACTGAGGTCATGATTTTGTATAGGTTTCTAAGTTTTCTATGATCGGCGCTTGAAAGGCCCACAGTCAGCAAATTCTGTTTATAGTACTAGCTGTTTTTCTGGATTACACCTCAGCTTTCCTTTATTACAGCAGCAGAGTAAACGGGTCAGTCATGAATGCTTATAAATGAGCCTTACCATTTTTTTGGAAGAACTTGTGTCTGTTACAATAGCGATTGCAAGCATGCTGCCATGTCAGATACAGTTCCTTTTCGGTATGGATTTGACACCCGCATAGCTGTGCCACACAACCCCAGTGGGCATCACGAGGCTGCAGTGGGCACAGTGTCTCATCTTGGGAGTGGTAGTCTGTGTGAGTGGTGCCCGCCCCCCGCCAAACTTGTTCAGCCGAAGGGCCTGGTTGGGAGTAGGGCACAAAAGCTCTTTTAAGTTGCTTCTCTTAGGTGTAAGCATGTTTTGTTTTATGACGGCACTCAAGAATTTCATATATATGGTTTGGGTTGTATCACTAATTCACATGGAGTTCATTTTGTGCAGAAACTATCATAAAATTTTTTTAAAAATTGTATTATACCAGCCTGGAAGCCATTTGAGTAAACGCCAGCGTACATCTCTCAAGAGCAGAGCCCTAGACTAAAGGGAGACCATGCAGTGCAAAAATTAAATAATTATACTAAACAGTACATTATTCATAAGCAATGTTGCCTTTTCCACCTTGGTCACAAAGGATGGCTTCTGAAGATGGTAACATGGATGGATGGGCAGGTCACATTGCATTCATGGACGCTCTCCCAGGCCATGCATTACTCATGCTTTCATATCCCACTTTTGTAGTTTTGGAAGGATTGTGGAAGCCTAAACTTAGTTTACCCTGCTGTTCTAGGTTGCTACACGATGTTCTCTGAAGGTAATTTGGCTTCCATGGGTCCTGCCCCAAAGTTGAGACGATTAATAGCTAATGTTTATAGAGCCCCCACTATATGTCAGGCACTGCTCTGCATACCTTAAATGCATTTAAACTCACAATTACCCTGTGAGGGTACCTGCTGTTATCCTCATTCTGATGGCCGTGAACAGAGGCTCAGAGAGGTTAGTTAAGTTGCCTAAGGCGACACCAGCTGTATCGGTTTTCTAGCACAGCCCTAACAAAGTACAAGGGGCTTAAACAAAACAAAACAAAACAAAATTATTGTCTTACAGTTCAGAAGGCTAGAACTACAAAATCAAGGTATCAGCACAGTTGGTTTATTCCTTCCAAGGTCTGTGAGGGAAGAAACTGCTCCAGACCACGCTCCTTGGCTGATGGATGGACATTTTCTACCAATGTTTCTTCACATTGTCTTCTCTCTGTGCATGTCCTTCTGCCCAATTTCCCCTTTGTAGAAGGACATTGGTCATGTTGGAGTAGAGCCCACCCTGATGACCTCATTTTAACTTGTTTATGAAGACCCAGTCTCCAAACATGGTCACATTCTGAGGTTTGGGGCATTAGGTTTAAACACGGGAATGGCGTGGGCAGGGGAGTTTGCATAACTCCACCACCACCACCAACTAACAGTGATGGAGCTGGAGTTTGAATCTAGCAGTGTGGCTCTGGGCTCTGGGTGCGTCACGAGCCATGGTCAAGTCCAACTGCCCTTTTATGTAACTTACAAAATTAAGTTTATTAAGTAAGCTTCGTCTTGAAAAATGAGTGTATAAAGTAGCTTCCAGTGTATACGGTAGCCTCTGTATGCGTCCTGTTTGTTTTCGAATGCCAAGACAGCTATTTCAACCCAGTTTCCCTAGTTTTCTTTGTATCAAGAAAGGCTTTTTTTGTAAGTATATATTACATCATGTAAAACATTTTTCATTTTCCCCTCCTTTAAAAATACTCTGCCTTTGATGGCTCAGTTCAGGAAAGGCCTTGTGACAACAGTATCAATCTCACTGCCCCTGGCTTCCATTTCTCTCTCTTCCTGAATACCTCCGAGTCCTGCGGACTTGCCATGTGGTGATACTCGGAAGCTTGGCAAAATTCGTAGGATTTTGTCTTAGGTTGGGCTGCTGGAACAAAATCCCATAGACTGGGGAGGGGGGTGGCGCTGAAGCAACAGATATTTATTTCTCATAGTCTGGGAAAGCTGGGAGCTCTGAGATCAAGGCACCTGCAGCTCTGGTGTCTGGTGAGGGCCCTCTTGCGGGCTTGAAGACGGCTGCATCCTCACACGGCGGAGGGAGGGGGCTTTGGTCTCTTCCTCTTCCTCTGAGGGCACATCATTGAGGGCCCCACCCTCAGGAACTCATCTAAACCTAATCACCGCCCAAAGGCCCTACCTCCTGGTACCATCACATCAGGGATTAGGATCTGCACATAGGAATATTGGGGGCGGGGGTTCAAACATTCGGTCCATAGTAGATTCTGAGAAGTCAGGAACCGGCAGCAAGTTCCCTCTACATTCTCATGAGTCTATGTTCCTTTGGTTTTAGGTGTTCCCACCCCGAGCCAGGAAATCCTACGGCACACGCTGAACACGTTGGTACGGGAGAGGAAGATCTACCCAACTCCGGATGGCTATTTCATCGTGACCCCACAGACCTATTTCATTACTCCTTCTCTCATAAGAACTAACAGTAAATGGTACCATTTGGACGAGAGGATACCTGACAGGTCTCAGTGTACCTCGCCACAACCCGGAACCATAACGCCCTCTGCCTCAGGCTGCGTCAGGGAAAGAACATTGCCCAGAAACCACTGCGACTCTTGCCACTGCTGCAGAGAAGACATGCACAGCATGCATGCTTCCACTCTGCAGAGGAAACCTGCCAAGGACTGCAAAGACCCCTATTGCCCTCCTTCACTATGCCAGGTGCCACCCACTGAAAAGAGCAAAAGTACTGTAAACTTTTCTTATAAGACAGAAACTCTCTCAAAACCTAAAGATAGTGAAAAGCAGTCCAAAAAATTTGGGCTAAAGTTATTCCGGCTAAGTTTTAAAAAAGATAAGACCAAACAGCTAGCCAATTTCTCCGCCCAGTTTCCTCCGGAGGAGTGGCCCTTGCGAGATGAAGACACACCAACTACTATCCCTAGGGAAGTGGAAATGGAGATCATTAGGCGGATTAACCCGGACTTGACCGTGGAAAATGTCATGAGGCACACTGCACTAATGAAGAAGCTTGAAGAAGAAAAAGCGCATCGGAGTAAAGCCGGGTCTTCGGCTCATCACAGCGGAAGAAGTAAAAAGAGTAGGGCTCATCGAAAGTCCCACGGGAAGTCTCGGTCGCACAGCAAGACACGAGTATCTAAAGGAGACCCTTCGGATGGCTCTCCTCTGGACATCCCAGGTGACAGAGAGTATGACTTCGGTGATCCTCTTACCAGGGCACCCAGGGAAGGCTGCTTCATCATTGAGCACAAAGGAGATAACTTCATCATGCATAGCAACACGAATGTGATTGAGTCTCATTTCCCCATGACACCAGAATGGGATGTGTCTGGGGAATTGGCCAAAAGGAGAACTGAGATGCCTTTTCCTGAGCCTTCCAGGGGAAGCTCCCACTCAAAAGTGCACCGAAGCCACAGCCATACCCAGGACCGAAGGTCCAGGAATGAGAGATCCAGCAAAGCCAAGGAGAGATCCCGATCCATGGATAACTCGAAGGGCCCTCTGGGGGCTTCTTCGCTGGGGACGCCTGAAGACCTGGCTGAAGGCTGTAGCCAAGATGACCAAACGCCCAGCCAGTCCTACATCGACGACAGTACTTTAAGGCCTGCGCAAACAATTGGCCATCAAAGGGCTCATGTTTCATCCACAAGCTATAAAGAGGTGTGTATTCCAGAAATAGTCGGTGGCAGCAAGGAGCCTTCCAGCGCATGTAGCCTTTTGGAGCCCGGCAGACCACCTGAGAGTTTGCCATCCTATGGGGAGCTCAACTCCTGTCCAACAAAAACAGCTACAGATGACTATTTCCAGTGCAACACGTCCAGTGAGACAGTCCTCACGGCGCCATCGCCTCTGGGAAAGAACAAAGAGGATCATGACACTCTGACTCTGGCGGAAGGGGTGAAAAAACTGCCGCTGTCTGATAGGCAGGCCCCACATTCTTCCAGAGAGCCTGTAGGGCACAAGGAGGAGTCACCAAAAGGGCCAGGCGGAGGCCCAGCCGCTTCCGGCGCAGTGGCCGAAGGGATTGCCAACGGACGCCTTGTCCAGCACCATAGTGCTGAGCCCAGCAGCCTGGACAAGAGGAAAGAGATATTCAGCAAGGACACACTGTTCAAACCTCTCCACAGCACCTTGTCTGTAAACAGCTATCACAAATCGAGCCTGTCCCTCCTCAAATCTCTCCCGAAGACACCTGCTGACACACTGCCGGGCCGATGTGAGAAACTGGAGCCGCCCCTGGGGACCTCGGTGGCACCAGCCGTGCCTGGTTCCCAGCGTCAGCAGGAGTCAGGGGGGAACCAGGAAGCCTCTTTTGACTATTACAATGTCTCCGATGACGACGACTCCGAGGAAGGGGCAAACAAAAACACGGAGGAGGAAAAAAACAGAGATGATGTAGGCACCATGCAGTGGCTCCTTGAGAGGGAGAAGGAAAGAGACTTACAGAGGAAATTCGAGAAGAACCTCACCCTCCTTGCCCCAAAAGAAACCGACAGTAGCAGCAACCAGAGAGCCACCCATTCAGCACGCCTCGACAGCATGGACAGTAGCAGCATCACTGTGGACAGTGGATTCAACTCCCCACGGTAGGGAGAGGCATCTCTGCGTGTGCGCACACACTCACACTCACACGCACACACCTATGAGGGCCTGGGGCTTTATGCAGATAACTTGAAAAGTTTTTGATTTCAGTTTTAATTCTGTGGATGCGGGTTAAGGGTTGTGTGAGTCGCGCTGTTAACAACCTGTTTCTGACTTCTTTTTCAGGAATTGAAACAAATGTTTCTGCAGCTGTAGAGATCACCAATCTGGACTGGTGGGTTGGCTCCCTCCCTCACACTTGCATCAGGCCAATCTAACTAGGACCAACATTTTCCAGGATTTTTCTTCTGTGTTTATATTGCCACCATGCTGATAAAAGAAGGGTTTTTGTTTTTTGGTTTTTTTAGGTCCTCAAAAATAGTAACTTTTTGAGTAGAATGGGCGGTCAGTAGTCAGTTGGGGGTTGGGTAGGGCTTGGGTATAAATCGATTGACTCAAGGACGGGGTCCTTCTAGTGGGAATAGCAGATCTCAACACCTTTCCAGGGGATCGAGATGCTAGTTGCCATTGCAGTGTCGACTCTGTGTGCTCCCTCCCCGACCTTGCTCATACGTTTCACATCCGCAGAGAAGTAGAACCTTGTGTCTCTCACAGAGCAGTGAGGGGCCTGTGTTCCCTTAGATCAAAGCATGTGCCCACGCTTTTCTCTCTCTTGCAGAATTGACACAACCCATTAAGGCCCTCGAATCATAACTGGTAATTCAGCAAAGGGTTAACAGCACAGAGTGTGCAATGCCTAACGGTCATATCCAGCACACTGAAGGAGCTCGGGGGTTAAGAAAGCAAAAGAGAGTCTCTCCAACTTCCTTTTTTTTTCTCCTTAACTCTTCCTTCTCCTCAAAGGGCAACTTGGGACCTAATTCTCCTTCTAAATTCTACTCCAGATTGGTGACTCTGAGATGCAGAAATACCACTGAGAGGTGGACATTTCTCACTAGCTGCGATTCCCAAGATTCTACGATATGGATAATTTTAACAAGTACCCAGATAGGATTATGTACTTCATATATTTTGATTATTAAGAATGAAACTTAGTTCTGTTGCGATCATTTCACTTTCATCTCTGGATAAGTTGGGGACAGAACATCCCCAAATCAGAACTGGGAATCATTAATCTGTCCCATATTAGACCTTTGTTATTTCTTTAAGGGCTAGTTTTTGATGATGATGATGATGATGATGATTTTTGCCATGTAACCTTTTTTTCCAAGTTAACCCATGTGTGGAAGTCTAATGTCTAAACAAACCACAGAGATGGTGCTCTGGTTAAAATGGGTGTGAGGCCAGGAGCCCCATGTCTCCTCTGTCAGTCCCTCAAGGAGCCCTAACTGACCTCAGGGAGCTATGGCACTCAGTCCAAAAGCTATTAGCCTACCTACTAAGTGACTTTTCTACAAAATAACTTCCACTAGATATTTTTTAAATCATGAATCAAATCTTAACTTATTTACCAATTATTTTATATATCCTTTTCTTTCTGTTTCTCGCTTCTGCTCTTTTTTTTTTCCTCTTAAATTTCTAACAGTGGATACCAGAGAGGTATAATTGAAGGTCTGTAATTGATGGTAGACATTCAAAACCATAACCAAGGTGTGGTTTATCTGCCTGTACCTTATGCTCAACTGTTTCTTATCATATAGACCCTGCCTGCCTATACAACGAGTTTTTTTCTGACCTTGCACTGTGCCCTCGGCCCCTGCACCCTCCACAGAGGGAAGGCTGCGGTCCTCCAGACATAATTGCTACAGAGACAAGCGTAGTTTAATGGGCTCTAACTCAACAACCCACCACCGCATGATACTGAAAGTGTTTTTGTTTGGGGGGCAAATAGACACAAATACTCATGAAATAGTTGACCCAGTCTTGCCACAGGATGTATTGTTTTATCTCTAAATTCGGGATGCAGAATATAGAATTGATGAATGAGATTATTTCTTGAAGTAAGTTTATTTTCATTTGTTTAATAAGGTACTTAAGGTTAAACGCTTTGTTATGGTAAGAGGTAAGATCGTTCTAAGGAGACAACTGTCTCACATTTAGCTACGTGTCTGTCACTACTGTTAGGTAGCGTTTTCTCGATAGGAATACATAGATCGCCCATAAGTTTCATGCAGTTAGATCATCTGCAGAACAATTCCTAATTTTGCCCCTTTCGTATTTACTATTCTTTGGCTAGAAATTAGGTCACAACTGTTTTTAAACTGTATTTTCGGTACACCTCAGTTAATCGACTAAGTTGTTTTCTGATGCGTGAGAATGGTCTATGAAGGAGAATATTTGAGTTATAGGGAGTTTTATTCTCCAGCATGAGGAGTATTTTAGCCATATAGCATTATCAGTCTGATACCTCTCCACTGCCGTGAGATACAGAAACTTTAAGTGGGCCACTTATTCGAGTCTTTCAGTACATATTCCACAGAGCAACTAAGATCCAATAACAACAACAAAGACCAAGAAAGTTGATCTCCACACTCCCAGCTTTCCGTGCTGGCTCAGAAGTCATGTTCAGCCACATTCTCAAAATTCTCAGTCCCTTTCGTTGGGAGCTAAAGGGTTTTGAGAAGGAAAAAAGGTAAAAGCTTCAACTATGCTATGAGATCTGATATTGAACACGAAAATTCTTGACCTGTAAAATCCGCGATTCCAAATCTGAGGCCCAAAACTGGTTGACAAACACAGTGTGAAAACCCGAGGTAGCAAAACTGCAGGGATGTGTCGGCTTCGTGTAGGGCGCGAGCATGCGCTGTCGGAGCGTGGGGCCGAGGGAGACACACGCATCCAGGAGGATGAGCCACACACCTGTTCCGTTCACTGCTTCTGCTTATAAAATCCTGACATCTTATTGTTAAGGTTGCACTCCACTGGGTTTCTTTTTCAAGAAAGTTAAGAACTTTTAAACTGGAAGACTAATTTTATTGCTAATGCTCTATCTCCATTAGCTTTTTCTTCATCACACCCAGAACCCTCGTTACAAGTGTCGCACCCTGCACTCGTTATTACAACAGTAACGAAATGTATCCTTTGGAGAAACTGGAGTACCGTATATCTTTATCACTGTGATGACTCTGGCCAAAGGTGGTCAGAGGCATCTTAGAGCAGAGACAGCTCCCAACTTAGATGATCTTTTGCCGTGATGTGTGTTCACAGTGCCTGGCATACAGCGGGTACTTGATGAGTGTGAAGCCTGTGCCTCAAAAGCTAGTTTCAAAGGTTTAAGAGGGTTTAAGACCTTAAAATGCATTTTTCCATAGAAAAGGTGCCATTAGTAACGGATGGATTCTGAAACCAACTCATAGTAGCTCCTTCATTCATTAGATGCCAGATGTGCATCTGAAATAATTAGAATGTATCTAGCTTTTTAGTGTACAGATTCATCAACGCTTATTTCTTCACAATCACTCTATGAGTAGGTAAATCTCATAACTCTCATCATTTTAGAGATGGGGAAATCAAATACTGTAAAAAGTTACTATCACAATTAAGAGTGAAACCGAAGGAACGTGTCACAAAATCTCTGGGGTTCTACAGGTTGATTGCCCTTCTTCCTTCCTCTGCCTGACTCCGTGCCTCAGCTATGGTGCTGGCAAGCCACTGGTGAATTTTCTTAGGGAAGGTGTAAGGCAGGTAAGTAGGTGAGTCTAGCACTTAACATCGCTTTAGTGATGATGTTCTGGGGTATTCTTTAGGTATGCTCAGCTCTACCGTAAGCACAATGAAAGAACTTAACTTCTTTCTTCTTTTTTTTTTAAGATTTTATTTATTTATTCGACAGAGAGAGTGAGAGAGCACAAGCAGGGGGAACAGTAGAGGGAGAGGGAGAAGCAGGCTCCCCGCCAAGCAGGGAGCCTGATGTGGGGCTCGATCCCAGGACTCTGGGATCATGACCCAAGCCGAAGGCAGACGCTTAACCATCTGAGCCACCCAGGCGCCCCAGAACTTATTTCTGTAAATATATTAACCTTCTGGAGGTGCCCTTTGCAGTCAAGAAAGATCCAGTTGTCTTTCTGGTAGTCGATGAATAAACGTCCTTTTAAACAATTACCTCTTGGCTCCTTGATGAGAAGCAAACTCAAAGCCACAAAGGTTAGAATGAAACAATCCACTATCTAGGAAGTTCAGCCAAAGTACAGGCATCCCTCGCTTTCCAAAACTTTGTGTTAACTTCCTTTCACTTTAACGGAAGACCCTACATTAGTAACAGCTTTCTTCGTGAAAGCGAAAATCTTCGGATTTCTTTCAGTTAGCAGAAACAGGTACCAACGTAGGTCTTTCATAAAATCGAGGAGGCATTAATGGCGAACATTTGGAAAGCACGTGTATACTCTTTCTGACATTTAGGCTTAGGAAAGATTTCATAGGAACACCCTACACTCCGAAAGTGGGAGAAACCTGTGTGGGGTTCAGACAGAATTGCTATTAATTTAGTACAGGAATGAAAGAAAGGTGGTGAGGATGTCCACCGCAGTAGTCTGACCTGCTGACTAGTTTCAGCAGGCTTCAGTCAGTGATGGGGGGTGGGGGGGGGGCAACTCTCAGAATATTTTCTAAACTCTGAATCTGCCCAGTCGGGTGAATGGATGTTTTGAGCATCAATGTGGTTTCTTCAATCTCTTTGTAAACTAAGTTTCTTATTCCCACTTTGAGGACTTTGAACATAGAACCTGTTCAGTTCCTATCAGTCAGGCCAAGTAACCTTATTTCTGCTATTGCCCTACACATTTAAAAGGTTAATATTCTGAATCTCTTGGAGCCATAAAACAAATTCAAGAGTTTCTAACTTAGAAAAATTAAAAGCGAAGTAGAACTACTAAAGCCTTTAAATCACTTCTGTTCTAAAGAATCCTTGAAAAATAAAATACTGCTACCAAAGTCGGGGGAGGGGATGTAAACTTCACAAATGGGGAAAATCTAAGATTCCTTATCTGAAAATATAACGTATTTCCATGAAAGTGTTAAGATTTGAAACAGAGGTACAAAGCGTTTTAAGACGAACTTTATTCCCATCAGGGTGGCAAATTAGCTAATGGCATGCTTGAAGTCCACCAAAGTCAAAATCTGCTAATCAGGAATGAAAACGGAATCATTAGGGGCAAAATTGAGTTTATTCATTTATTCAGTGAATTTCCAGCCTGAAACGAAATCATCGCATGTGTGTATTTAAGAGGATTCTTTTCTAAAGTGAACGCGATAGCTATCTCTCACGTCAAATTTGGAAGCAGTTTCCTTGAATGGGAAAAGAAGGAGAAAACATTTACAGTGCCTTTGGCTGGATGAAAACCCATTATTCAGGGTGCCACTGATTATAACGTGTGTGAAAGCTTCTGGAGCCCACATTGGAAGAGCGTATGTGAATAATCAGTGTGAGGTGGTGTATATATGACATCATGAGCCAACAGAGGAAATCCATTAACTACATCATTTGCTCTTCCTCTGGGGCTCAAGAGATAATTATTTAATGTTTAAAACAAAACAAAACAAACCCTTTTTACTCTTTTAGCACTCGGGAGAGCCTGGCTTCCAACACGTCAAGCATTGTTGAAAGTAACCGTCGTCAGAACGCTACCTTGAGCCCGGTCCACGGTGGAGCTGGCCCGGCCTTCAACTTCCGAGCAAGTACGGACCCCGCAACCAACGAAGCTGAGAAACTACAGAAACCTTCCAACTGCTTGCAAGCTTCTGTTACTAGTGTGTGACAGTCGTTCTGCCTCAGATCTCCTGTCTCATTCGATACAGCCAAGTTTACGACACTGGGACTGATGTTTACATCTTGGGAAAGACAAGCATCTCGACCACAGTTTTTGTGTTTACTTAAACTGTGCTGCTAAGTAGGCTAGGGCAAAAAACAAAAATCTTTATTTCAGAGTATTGCTTTTCACATTTATGGCTCTGTAGCAACCGAATAGCAGTAGGGGTGATATGTATACTTTTGCTTCACTACTTGTAACTGAGCACACATAGGAAAGTCTAGACACTGTAAGTGTGATATGCATTCCAATGTCATGAAGTTGCCAATTCCATTTTTAAATGCCACAGATACGTGTTGCTCCCAGTCTGTGGTCAGAGGGTGCCACAGAACTGATCCTTGACACCTCCCCCCCCAAAAAAAAAGTAAGCCACCCCAAAATGTCAAATACCAGGATCCACCTTGAGGGAAATCAATGTCAAACTGACCAAAAGGGACCCCAGCCCTTTGTGTGTGAATCGTTTATGCACCAGTCATTTCTCACTGTGAGTTTTCGTGACACGATTTTGCAGGAGCCCGTGGAAGTGTGTCAGAAGGGGTCGTGATCGAAATTCTGGGAGTGTTTGTTTTCAGGATTTTGTTTTTAAGTGTAACAGATGCTTGTCTGATTTTTAACCTTCCATAATCACAAACGGGAATATAGGCCTTTGATTCTGAAGTGGACGAAGGAAGGAGATCCCCAGCCTGGCTGGGACACAGCACTAAGGGATGGAAGAGGGAAATGTGGACTCTAAAGGTGTCAATCAAATATTTAAGGAAGATAATTTCCTCCTTGTGATACTTATGATGATCCTATCTTACTATAATAGATATGATAATTAGTTTGTTTAAAAGCAAAATGTTCTTTGTGATACAAATGAAGAGTATGGCCTGGGGATGTTATTCTTTCTAATGGAAGGACATTAATCTATTTTATGTAGTTTTAAATAGAATGCCTAAATTAGGCTATGGGAGATCATTTTTAGTGGTTATAGGAAAGAGCAAAATTAGGGAGAGTTGAACTTCAGGCCTTTTATTCCTGGAAAGATATCTATAGAGAAAAGTTTAAAATAATTTTTGATTAGAAATATACATGTGCCCATGTAATTACCAACAGAATGTGCTCATTCTGCAAGTATGGTATAATCTGAACTTGTACTCCCCTAAAATTTATCAGAGTAACAATTATGCATACATGAACTATGCCAGAGTAATGTTTACAGATACTTTGTAACCAATTTCAGGAGGCATTTTTAGGTGGATGTAGAGTTACTAGCCCAACCTCTTTCAAAATGGTTTGTTAACATTTTGCTTTGGTTTACAATGTCTTATTGAATACAAAGAAGACTCTGCAGCAAAGGGATTACAAATAATCGAGCTTCAACTTTACAGAAAAGAGACATTTCAAAGTTCCCCATTTTATTCTATGAGAACAATGGCCTAAATGTGTAGATAATGAAAAATTATTTGCAGAAGGGTTACATATGACACAAGTAAATGGTCTGACCAAAAGTTTAGTTTAGTGGCGTGTGAGCCGTATAACCATAAAATATATATCCAAAAATAAATCTAAAATCTTCCCACCTCAGACTTCAGTAATTGGCATAAAATGTGTGAAACATTTCTGCTTCAGTATTAGGTTCAATCACTAGGGATCTGTTTAAAGAATACACTCCTATACATAGCTGGACCGATTCTTGAAACATATGGATACTCTCTCATGCTTTTCCAGATATTTGGAAGTTGCATTAGGTCAAACTGGACTCATCAAGTTTAGTCTAGATTCCTTTTTTTGTGCTTATAATGAAATGTAAGCACATTTCTTGGTAAACCCCCATACCACTAAAATGCTTAAGTCAGTTGGCTTTCAATCTCATGCCTTATTTCCTCCAAGGCATGCCCTGATTGCCCAGAAATGCACTATTTGTCTCATTGCTTAAATATGTCCAGGAGGAATGATAATCTATCTAATAGACTATACACACAGTCTGTTTCCTTGGGGAGTTATATACCATACGGTTACTAAATTCTTCTGGCTAAATTCCTTTTTTTTTTTTTTTCCAAAAAACCTGCTCTCGAGTGTTGAATCATACCATCAGTTCATAAATAATGTAACCATTGAAACAATACATCAGCCTCTCGTTGATCCTCTTGAAAGTAGCCATTATAATAATCAAACGCTGTGTGGACAGGAAAGGAAAGCATTACCTTTAAGAGAAGCTTTAAAATAGGAATTTATCAATATTTCACAAGATACAGGTTTACAGAAGACATGATTCAGATAAAATGTGTATATACTATTTGCCTGATGCTATGGGGTACACAATTTTAAAAACAACAAAAACTCCCTTAGACCTGGAGCCATTAGCGTAGAGAAGATGGGATTTAAAGATGCTACGATGTAAGCAGACGTTCCATGTGGAAATGTCCCCGTCTGCATCTAACAGGAGTCGTGGATGGGGGAGGCGTGGTGGCAGGAAGCACTGTTACAGATGTGACCCGAGATGGTCCTCGGACAGTGGGCGAGCTTCTCAGTGACCAAACCCTCAGCCCACGCCAAGCTTTGCCAACATCCTTTTCCTCCCCTGAACTGATAGCTTTGTGAGACGTGGCTGCTTATCTAGTCTTCACTTAAGAGTTTATCAGCTGAAAGGTTTACAGAACTGAGTCTGGTTGAATCTTTGTGTAGCGTTCAACTCTAAAGGGTCAACCCGTCTGTCGGCATTTTGCACACTTATGTATTATTATGATGCAGCATATTACTTTATGGCAATTTTTATTTTTACATATAACTACCTCCATAAATTTGATGAAGCGGCAGCAGTGTGTTTAAAGTGTATTGTTCGGAAAAGCAAAGTGGAAAACCTCCGTAAACATGAGGCCATGGTGTTCTGTGTGTGTGTCCGTCAGTGACTGCCCCTGTGGACTCGTGACTTCTTCATGGCCGTGGTTTTGTTTTACGGCACTATTGAGCTTTCAGATGTAAACCTGTCTCTCCTCTCTTTCCCACAAAAGCACACTTGATTTTGTTACCAATGAAAGGAAGTTGAAATCTCTTGTCTTTCCCTGGCCCCTCTCCCCCACCCCACTCCTGCTAAGAGTTCTCCCCGGTGAAGAGCCGATTGGTAAACATAATTTAGCAAGCTCTTTACTCCTGTAAGAATCGGATTTGGAAATTCTAGGTTTTCAGTAACTGAAGACACACAACAAATTTGGACTGTGCCGGCTTTGAAGTACTTTGGGCCTCTCTGCCTTCACTCACATGCTCCCATCCTGAGCCCAAACTTCGTTTTAATTAAAAGAGCTGTGTTCTGTTAAATAATTTGTATTCCATTTTATATATTTTGCACATCTCAGGGGACCTTAATGAGCATATGAAAGGGGGGGGTGCCATCAAATAGAGAAGACAAATGGAGGAGCTGAATGGGGACCAACCGGGATAAAAATACCAAATTAGTGCTTCTCTGATGTTGTCGAGTGCAAGTTCAGGAGGCATAAATTGAAAGTTAATCTGGACTAACAATGATCTGAACACCAGCTGTTCCCAGGTCTCCCTATCTCAGAGCCCAACCAGCGGTTCGAAGATGTAAATTTAAATTCTATCGCAACCGCCATGGGAGGAAAAACTTGTTGGATGAAAAGGAAAGCATTGTGCGTTTTGTTTGTTTGTTTTTTTAGGTTGGCACAGCTTTGTAAAATCCTACCCAGGAGAAAAACCACTTATCGCCACCAAGTGTACTTGAAAATAAAGTTTTTAACTTAAATTATAGGCACATAGCTCCCAATACAATAGTGAACCTATTTTGAAGTCTCGCCATTTATAACACAGGCAGTATTTGGAGCTTATGATTAAAAGCCAACAACAAGCTATCATGACTTTGCCAGTTCATTTTGGGATCTCAAAGTGCTTCCAAAGCATTCAGATTGACCAACAATTAACAAAGCAGATCCTACTTGTAATACCCATACTTGAAATGGACAGACAGAAGGGGGGAACCTCAGATTACCCAGAAATTCCGCGGCAGCTACCAGTGATCTGTTTTCTATCTGTTTGATAGACCATCATGAGAAATCACTAAATACAATGCTATTTTTCTGATGTGTGCTAATAAAGTCGAAGAAAACAAATACAACTGTACACTTTTGTCCATTTTCATTCAAAAAGTTCAGGGTGTTTGGAATTTTACAAAACCCACCCAAATGCCATTGCGGTCAGAGGTAGATCCTAGACATACACCCTTGTTTACAGTTTCCTATTGGGCTTCTGTAATTCCTGTGCTAAAATACCATCCTTCAGGAGCTTGACTCTTCCTGACAGTGGAAGGTGCTGAAACAGAAACTGTAATTAAAAATTTATCAAGTACTCTTCACTGTGCTGCTTTAGCACCCTAGAAATTCAGTACAATATATCGAGTCCCACCTGGAAGAATCTGGGTTTCCGAGGGAGCCGATCTAGCTCTCAGTGTGTTCTCAAACTAGGAGATACCAGATCCTTGCTGAGGACCTTCTCCATTGGCACAGGCCAGCCACAGAACCAGCCGGCACAGGCTGTCAGGCGACAGCAGACCCCCAAGCAGAAGTGATCCCACCCTCCCTTTCCCCAGCCCGCCCCCCTCTCCCCCACCATCCTGCCCGTTCTCTTCTGTGAGCAGCCAGGCTCCTGCACATGTTTAGGGCCTGAGGACGCTAGAACACAGAACAAATGCGAAAGCGTGGAAAACATTGTTTTGCTTGGGGTTAGTAAAATACAGGCAGGAAGGAGATTACTATCGGTCTGATCTTTGCCAAGTTAGATAAAAGAATCAGCTGTCACTCCGTCATTCTCCCAGAAGGTTTTACAGTATTATGGATACATCCAATATTTTCCCATAGATTTTTATTTAGGAGACATTTCACAAATTATATATACGAAAAAAATTCACGATGAAATTTCCTGGCGTGTTTGAAATAGGCGCTGGCATCTCCCTGATTGAGTTAATCTCTGCGCCTCATGCAGCAACATCCCAGAGAGAGATTCCCCCAGTGATTGCTCCCCTAACACATAATCCTGTGTTTTTACAGTTGTTCTATGACTTACAGTTGCTGATTGGCAAGGTTGAGGATTCTATAAGGCTCAAGGGGGACTAAACCTTCTTATGATTATATATTATCAGTTATAGGGCTTTAATTGCTCATTGTTGGCTTCAAATGCAAACACACACACCCTGCCAACAAGGGAAGGGGAGTTTCACAAATGAGGCAGCAAATGTAAGGCTAGAGGCTTGGCTGGTCCACGTACAGCTGCCTACCTCCCTGTCCAAAGGCTGATCTTGGCACCCCTGTTCCCTTCCTCCCGACCAAAAGAGGTACCAAATCTGAGATCTGAGAAATCCTCCAGTATCAGTCCTCTGCAGTTACAGGAAATTCATG